AATGGTATCAAACATAATAATCGGGCTGATAATTTGGAGTGGCTAACTCCTAAAGAGAATGCTGAACGTAGGATATTTCCAAATCACGGCAGTATCGGATCCAGAAAAATTGTGCAGAAAATGCTAGACGGAAATGTTGTTCAGATTTGGGATTCTATCCTTCTTGCCAGTGGTGCACTCAAAATTTCAGAATCTTGCATTTCAGAATGTTGTAGTGGGAAGCAAAAAACTTCTGGTGGCTGGCGTTGGATGTACTATGAAGATCACATAGAGCCTGATCCAAACAAAGAATGGAGGGAAATAGAGCTTGATTCACGAAAATTCAGAGTTTCATCTCTTGGAAGAATTTAGTTACCAAATTGTGAAATCACCCAAGGTTCACTGCATATGGGTTATCGAAAAGTCGCTCGAAAAGGATATCTTGTTCATCGCTTGGTGGCATTGGCGTTTTGTCCAAAAGAAGAAGAAAAAGAATACGTAAATCATATTGATAGCAACCCTACAAATAATAATGCATCCAATCTTGAATGGTGCACACAAAAAGAAATTATGCAACATGCTGTACATCTTGGGCTTGGGCACCGATGTGCTGTAAAGCAGATTTTTGGTGACGGATCTTTCCGAGAATTTCCATCCATAGCTGAAGCACGGCGTGTTACTGGAATTAATCATATTTGGAAGGTGTGTCGGGGACTTCAAGCTCAAGCTGGAGGGTATCGTTGGGAGTATGTTGCACAATAAGTATGGTTTAACTTTATTGAAATTCATCATAAGACAGGCTTACAGATAAAATTGCAAAAACCCAAGTATACAAGGAAATCAAGGAGATATACTTGTTTGGGTGTTTCAAAACAAAATGGCTATTTTCCCAATCGGTTTGAATTTTATTATATATATAATAAATATAATCCAGCTAATTATATTTTTTTTATAATTATATAACTAGTAGGCTAGTAAACATCTACCTGGTATTATGTAAGTTGCCTTGTGAAATAAAACTCTTATGGCTAAAAAATTCATAAGTTATTTGGATAAAATGAATAAAATCAAGTATATCACCTATCTCAAAAACCGCTTCCCAAGGAAACGAGCAGAGTTATGCTAGTTCAAAAATGGAAGATAATCACCTTCATATAAATTCATAAGTATTTTAGTTGAGTCGAAGAAGTTATTAGAAACACCAAAATAAATGAGGAAGCCAAGAAAAAGGTTCCACCGGAAATCCAGTTAAGTGTATTATTAGAAACCGAGGTAAGTGAGGAAACCCCACACCTAATATTATTAATGATCAAAATTACCAGAAGAAGCAAAGCTTCGAGTTTCCAACACAGCTTGGGTAAGTATATCATCATTAGGTGCAAAAGCCAATATTAGCAAACCATCCGAATCTCAACCTCCAATTTCTACTTTACCCGGTGATCCAGAGAAAAAAGCAAAAACATATCATTAATAAAATATTGGATCAATATCTTTTAGTTATTACATCAATTCCGATGATGTATTTTTCACTGCAACACATCTAAATCCACGAGAATCATAAGGCCACTATAAAGAAGGATCTTACAATATCAGATGTATATTTAATTACATAGGTGGAATTGTAAAAATAAATGTATATGGAGACATTTCATGTATTTTTTCTTGTGTAGATGACCACATTTATTTTTGTTGCAAAGCAGGAGCACTCACGAAGTGTTCACATATGTTTTCATTTGTATCAATAAAACAAATAGATATATATTTAGTGTGGACTTGTCCACGTACATAATAAAGAATTTTACATTTTGCATGATTGATTGAAACTATCAAAAGAAGCAAAATTCTATTGCAATGTGCTATTGGTTATCATTAATCTAGCTTTGTTATATAGGTAATTATCGTGAAACTGTTTTATTTTGAATAACGAAATTTTTTATCTTTATTAAAATTTCTAGGATCTCTTTTCTTTGATCAGGATCTGTATAATCAAGACACGGAAATTGATCTGTATTTTGATCCACTGGATACTTGTATATATACATTTTGTCAGTCGGAAATCCCTCAGAAAGACTGATAAGATAATTAAACTCAATTTCTGCCCTGTAAAACGTAAACCGTGTCCCAATTACACGTATTGCAAATAATGATTGAGCATGATATCTTCCTCGTATTTCCTCGTGGTTTACAAATGCTGAAGCCAATAATTCACCAGCTATTTGACATTCGCCCCACCAAGTATTTTTGGTAACGTTATGCAAGTGCTTGTCTTCATCAATTATCACAAATAGATTACTCTTCCATATAGAAAAGTCAGTTTCCGATGTCACCTTTTTATTGTACACCCTGAAATAACAATCTGCCTTCAGCTCCAAGGAAAGCGGGTATTCATTAAATTCTAAAACTCCTAAAAGAAAGTTTACAAATGAGTCGGTAACTCTCTCACGCTTTCCTGCACTCGCAAGTTCTTTAATTAATACATTTGATATATATCTAGCTAGTGCTCTTTCTTTATTATTCCAGCCTTTGGTAAAGGAATCGTCAGTCCAGACACCAAGAAGCTGGTCCTTGCTCGCATTTCGCAAGAGAAGACTGGTATTGTATGAAAAATCAGGCGGATCTCCGAACATTTCGATGGCTCCTTCTGCGTAGTGAATATTAAGTGCACTT